AAAAAAAAGAACACCTTGCTTTTTGAGAATTCAGAATGTTTGTTCCAAAACAAAAGCATAGGTTACAGGGAATATAAAGGTAGGACTAATTACTTTTCTAGAATTGAAGTGTATTAATGCTGAAGAACAGTCAAGTGAGATTTTGTATTAGAATTATGCCTTTCCAAAAAGATGTAATTTGTTTCAACAAAGATCCTGTGAACTTTCCATGTATTAGCTAATAAGGCAATACAGCATAATTAAACATCTTTCTCTTCTAAAATGCTCCTAATTAACTTTTTTTTCCTCTGAAATCAATTAAAACTAATTTTATTTAACCCAACTGTGCAAATTCCTCTGTAAGACTTCATATTTGTCTTCTTCACCGAGCCTCATTCAAACCCTCAAGACAAAACTTGGGAGACTTAAACTGTATCTCTATCTTGTGTTTAACATTAGTACTCTCAAAACATCCAAGAGAAAATGCTCCTTTTTCCCCCACCTGACTGCCCTGCAAACAAAGTGTGACCCTCCAAAAGAGACAGATTCAACGAGAAATGGCCACATACCATCATATGCGAAGTGCATGCACATGTCTGCGTGTGACAATGAGATTCCATGCAGAGATACCTGAGCTGGATTTGCAACTCTCTGAGAAGCCAGGTGTGTAAACTCATGTGGAGCACCCCGCTAACACCTCGATTTTTGGTGCCCGTGCTAGCTTGGGGATTGTTTATCCACTCTAGCCTGGTTGGCTGGGCTGAAGATGCTGCTCCTGCTACTCACTTCTCCCTTGCAATCTTCTGGCTGACCTCTTTGTGTGCATGCTCCTTCAGGCAAAGCAAGCTAGGCTGGCTTAAGCATTTAGGAGGTCTTTGCTAACTGCCAAATTTTGACCAAGATAAGTTAGGAATCAGTCTAGTGAGCAATGTGGAGAAGGGAAAAGCTCTAACAGGGTGGCGCAACTGGGAATAACATCTCCTGGTAGGACAACCACAACCCAGAGATGATGTCTGAACAAGGCCATAGGCACCTCTGCATAGCTTTTCTGTACTCTCTCTAAAAGCTGAACAATCTAGGGGCTTTAGAGCTTTTAAGTTACTGATTTTGATCTGACATCTAAAATGAACTGGTTCTAAGCACAGTACAGCATGTTCCTCCAAAAAAAGATAAAGGAACTATTGGCTTTCTCCTCCCACAACCAAATTTTCAAAGGCTGCAGCCAGGATCAAGACGGCTGGTTACACATACATCACTGTGCCTAGAAGCCCTGATGCTTATGCAGAGACAATCAGGTCACATTATTCATAAATCTTGTTCCCTTAGTATACACACATATACTTAAGATCACCAATTTCGAAACCAGAGACTGCAATTATCATCAACTAAACAGGGGTGCTGCTGGCATTGTAGCATAGGTTATGATATGGTGTTATGATAAATCCTCAGCATACTACCATCTTCCAGCTGAACTGGAAAGATGAAATCAAAATCCTGCAGTGACAGCTGGGTTTGAATATGGCTGCTGCTATACACTTGCAATTAGAGTTTAAATAATCAACAATAATCTGAAGGCCTCAAAGTATCTCCTATGTAGCCTATTGATTCTGGATGGAAAAAAAATGCAAATAGTGTGACTAGAACAGAAGAAAGAGTGAACAATGGCAATGATACTTCAATGTTTCTTTGCATCCGTAGTCTGGAATATTATACCTTAACTAAAGTTTAGTTTGGCCATTTTTATTCTGCAGTTACAACTAATGATATGTAACAAACTTTAATCTAAAAAAAAAAACCAATGAAACAAACAAAAAAATCCATAACTAAGATCTGTCACCTTTTTAATAAATTTTTAAGATCTAAATAAAATTCAATATAAAATTGATTTTCAGTTGCAAAAAGACAACTTCAGTTAAAAGAGATAATCACAATTCATTTAAAGAAGTTGAAATACCATAGGTAAAAATCACAAATTTGATATAGCTGCAAAATGAAATTATGACACACAGACAGTCAGCTTTGTAAGACAATAACTACATTAGGCAGGATGCCTCGTTTGCTGTGGAAGCTGGTAAAAACGGTAACTAGAATTTAGGTAAAACCACTGACAATTTTCCAGCCCACATTCATACAGACTTATAAAACAGTAGACATCCACCAGTTGTCTTTTTTCCACTGAACAAAGATTAGCAACTCGATCAACTCTATAAATGCTCACCTTGAAAATTTGCTGGGACCCTCTCCATCTTCATCGTCGAAGTCCATTCTGTAAGAGCAGGATTTCCAAATCATTAATCATGAAGATAGCAATGATGACTTGAATGTGAAACAAGTTCTCAACCTTGTTTGATCTACGTTACTGATTGGAGATGTTCATGACCCTAGTTCCCAGCCTTGCTCACATTCTCCAGATCCCCGAAAAACAGCTCATCAGCTGCCAGGAGTCCAAACAACACAAGTTAAAAAATATATGTGTGTATCACCCTAAACTGCTAAAATTAACAACCAAACAGAAACACTAAATGAACACAGTTCTTGTGAAACAGTTAGGAGTAACATCCCTTAGTGCTTTTAGAAGTTCAGAGAAATCAGTGAAGATTCCATGTCAGATGACAAACCAAGGCTAAAGAAAATAAGAAATAAGAGGCAACTGTTACTGCCCCAGACTAAGAAAGCACACCAGAGGGAGAGTGAAACACATTCCCAGCCTCTCTGGGAAAAGAAGTATTTACTTCACCTCTATTTAATTGCAATTCCTCTTCTAGACTTACCCTAATCATTTCACACAAGTTAGTGACCAGTCTGCAGACAGCAATTACTGCAGTATGGTAACCAAGGCCTCACCAAAAGCAGCCATGGGTCCATCACACACCTAACTTACCTGCTAGTGTCCTGGTGCTTCTTCTTAAGTCAGTGGAAGAGAAGAAGCTCTTCCCTGGGCCAAGTCACAGCGCTCCAGTCAGGCTCCTCCAGGGAGCCACAAAAAGCAGGAACTTCTTTCTTCACTAATTACCCATGCAAACTAAGGCTGGCCATAATTAGATCGTACAATAGCATAGCTAGACAGGAGACACTGGAGCAAGGGCTGGAGTGAAGGGCTACTAAGATGATGAAGGAACTGGAGCTTCTCTCATATGAAGAGAGGCTGCGAGAGCTGGGATTGTTTAGCCTGGAGAAGAGACAGCTGAGGGGGGGATATTAATTACTATAAAAAAAAACAAAAAAAAACTTCCAGTTGAAAATGAAGGTTTATTGGTTAAGAGTGTAGGAGCAGTGGTGTAAAAGTGCTCCTTAAAATTAGGTAAAGAGCAGATCATAGAGCATATGAAAGCCAGACAACACTATCCTGCTTGCTGATTTTGATATCGAAGTCAGAATTCTATAAAAGATGTTTCTTGCTCACAGACCTCCAATCAGCTCAGACAAATCAGTTCAGCAAATAAGCACAGCAATTTGAATCCATATAAGACATCATAATATTTTCCAGATGGTAATAGTGATTATTCATTTCGGCAGGAAAGAGGGATAAAACCATTTTCCCAAAAGGGTTTTAAGAAAAGATACGTGTTTAATTTGGTTGAGGTTGGATGTAATCATAATTTACACTATAAATTACATTTTGCTCGCCTAATTATCACCAAATCCAGCTTTAAAAACACTTCACTTGCCAGAGGCCTCTCAGCTGTGTGTTGTAGAGCAACACCGACCTCCAGCGGCCGGCGGGCTGCTTCTTGCAGAGGCGCCTGCAGCTGACCAGGACCCAGCCCAGCTGCCATCTCCCAGAACGTGGCCTTCCTTGCTACCATCTCCAAACACCCAGAATATCCTCAGAGCTGCTCCATACAGAGCATTCCTAGTAATTTAACACTTAGGTATTCTCATCTCTCGTTTTATCCACCTGCTTCTCCGCACATAATGAAGGGCCTATGGTGTGACATCCCCAAATTATGTCTGTGTTGTTTCAATTCTCATATTTTTACCTACATCAAAATGTGAAAATCAGTGTCACAGAAGAATAGCTTGTTTGCAAGCAGAGCACAAACCCAGGCTGGCACAGAGCTGTGTCCAACCCTTGCAAAATCTTAATCTAGCAGGAATATCCTGGTCTCACTGCAACTGAAAAGCAATTGAAATAAAGCCTGAGTTTCAAACAGGCAATAAGGGACAGGAGAAAATATCCAGGGGAGAAACCTTCTTTGGAGGGTATTTATTAAGACATTGCTTTTAATTTAGAGTAAATAAATTTTTTAAACCCTCCTTTCTGATCCAGAGCACTACGATCCCGTGCCTTGGTTGACTTCTTAGTTTCCAGTCAAATTCTCCACTTGGGCACTGAGAAACATTTTCCCAGAGAAATCAAATGTTGGCTCTGCTGTGTTTGGGCTAGTTTATTACTGACATGCACAAAATTACATATAGCACAGAACCTCTTAACAATTTAGGAGCTGATTCTGCACTGTACACATAGTTCCAATGGGATGAGTAGCACTAAATGCATCTACTTATCCAGCTGGAGGGTATCAGCTTCTTGTCTTATAACATTCCTTAGGCTGACATCCATAGGCAATACCTACCATACGTATACTTGGCTCATCACTGTAGAATTAGAGTGCTAGTGTGCAATAATTGCCTGTGACAGACTAAAATCTTTAAATATTTATCTCTGTTTTGGTAAGCTACCCAGAAATCTTGATTTTATGACAAAAAAGTGAAAAAAAAATTAAAATTGAATATAAAGTTTACAGAAAATGTTCACAGTTGTAAAAACACAACAGCAAATGCATTTGTTAATAAGTAAATTTCCTATTTTCATACTTCATTGTGCAAAAAGAGAAGAAAAACCTCTCAAAACTGGAAAAAAAGAATCAAGTTTAAAGCAAGTGACTCTAAATTCCTGCCTGAACCATTTCAAGTTCATTACAGTAAAGCAAAGCAAAAGAGAAGGAATCAGTTACCAACCAATCAGTTGTCACCAACATCGGAACACAGCAGAGCACATAAAAATAATATTCCAACAACCCCCTTACCCTCTGACAGATAAGATCTTCCATTCAGATAGAATATATTGCACATTAGCAGAACAGTAAAAGCAGCCTCCCAGAAGACAAATGACATCATTTCAGAACGAGTATCTTTTGTCTTCATTTAAAATTTCCATTAAGAAGAGACTTTTATAAAGAGCTGCACTATGCTCTTTTGTTTTGAAGAGACAACATAAATCTTGTTTTCTTCTTTCATACTGCTCATGTCAATCGAGAAAAGGGCTGATGTATGAGGTATTTGTAAAATGGAAAAAAAAATCCTCAAAGGGTGTGTGACAACATGACAAAAATATTTAATTATTTTTTAAAAACATTTTCATACACATAAACATTTTCATAGCAGCGGAATAAACAAGGTTATCCTGCACAGCTTACAAAATTGAGATGAGGATTTGAACACTGTAGCAAAAACAGTTACATAAAATTGCAAAGAAATGGCAAAAGCTGGCTTGCCATGCCTGAGCAATGCAGGAAGGGGCCAGGAGGCAGGAATGATCAGGAGCAGAACAGCTGGGATGCACCCAGAACTGCCCTGTCACCCTTCCTGCTGCACCATATCAGGACTGCATCCGGGAAGGGAGAATTTTGAGCTACAGCTTCTTGTTCTCGGTATCCCCCTCAGATCTTGCAATCTTGCACCAGAGAAAGGGCAAAGCCATCTGCTAAAGTAAATCAAAACCTAAGAATTTAAGAGGCAAATAAATGAGAAACTTAAATGAAAGATAACTGAGGAAGGGGGGAAAAATGGTTCCTATCTAGAATAGCTTCTAAAAATAGTGAAAAATCTCCTTAAACATCAAGAATTGCCTTTACATCTCTCTAAAGTAGTTAATATAACCTCAGCAATGTGTTATTTTAAGCATAATCAGGCTATCACTTTTTTTTCCCCTCTATAAAACACTTGGTATAATTTATAGAAAGGAAAAATATTTGTCGGAGCTGTCAGTGAAGCTGCATGCCTACACCACAGAAACACCTTCGGGATAGCCAATGAGTTTAAACTGATCTACATTCAAGTGCACACAGCAATTATTCTGCCAGCTTGCCTCAGCAATTATGAGGAAAAGAAACAATTTTCAAAGATAACAGAAGCTGGAGGAGAAGACTCTGTTCACTGGCTATATTCCTTTATGTTTGATACAAAGCATTCATTTCTAAAATGCCCAAGGATTTAAGTGTACAAAGATTTAGCAGCAGGACAATAATGAAAGGACCAAGTGTTAGCTGCAAGTTTGTTCGAAGAGAATCCACGGTGAATCAGACCCAGCAGGCTTTCCTTCCCCCAGGGTCCGGATACAAACACACAGGAGGAAGCAAACGCACTCTCTTCTCAGCCTGAAGGACTCCTAGTTTACAACCACGGTGCACACACTATTTACTGCTGGGTATAAGAGCACTTCTGCATATACCTTGTGGATATAAGTGCACATCTATGCTATTCACTATGACTTTACATATTGAATACACTTCAAATATCTTCAATTTATGTTCCTCCCATCCTCCCCCCGGTTCACTTCCTTGCAAACAGAAGATGCTGCTTACAGTGTAATGTTTAACACTTAGCCTTCAATTAATACCAAGTCTGCACTTGCTATAATCGTGAGATTTCAGTCAGCAGCATCAAGCCTTGTATTCAGAGTTGACCTGGCTTATGATTAAAAACAAAAACACCCCCCCTCAAAAAAAATCTGTTGCTCTGAGGTATAAACAACTGTATCTTTTATACAGCACTGAAAAGAAGTTAATGCTTTGTTTTCTCTTTTGAACACGTCTGGATAAGCCTTCTAAGTAAACGTCTTCAAAGTAAAAATGTAATGTCTATCAAAAAGATTTCAGAGTTGTTTATGTCACATCAATTTAATTCCACATCCAAGATGAGGTGCATGTTCTCCTTTCTTAACTCATTCCAAAAATGAGAGACAAGCATCTTGGCTACTATTACTTGACCATACACCTAAAATTGGCAATACACCTTGGCAAGCAACTCCAAGAATAACTCCTATGAGCAGTAATACCTCTCATTAGAAGTTCATCAGCAAAGATTTTATTCACATTATTGATCTTGTCATGTCCTACCATTGCCATATTTATGGCTAAATATAAGATTAATCTCTTTTGCTGATGCTCTCTTAATAGAGATATCTCTGGGAAAGGATCCCCTTAAGACCATTATATTTTTGACCAAGCTTTTACAAAAGCAGGTATTGAACTATCTGTACATGAAAAAAACTAACTCTATATCATAAGAACCTCTATAAATGGATAAAACCTTTTTTTTTTTTTCTTCTTAACAGAACATTTGGATGGTATATGAGGAACCTATAAATGGATAAAACCTTTTTTTTTTCTTCTTAGCAGAACTTTTGAATGGTATATAAGGAAGCAAGCTTGATTCAGGCCTTTTCTCCCAAAACCTGAGAGAATGTGTTGCGTGTGCAGCTAAGCCTAGAAGATGATAAACCACAATCTCTAAAGACTGCCTCTTTATGCTATTTATGTACCTGGGATTATAAAGAAAATATTTTTAACAGACAACATCTGAGACGTTCTAAGTCCAATTTGCAGATGAAGTTGGATAAATTTGCATGTGCAGGTAAGAAAGCACCTTGCTACCCTTATTCACATGATGAGCTCTTTTGAGATTAAAAAGATACAGGTAACATGCACCCACTTTGAAATGACATCCACAGGATCCAAACTCTGGATCTGTGCATCTGTGGATGCTTTGCCAATTCTGAAAGTGTTTTGAAGCAGGCAAAATAACAAATGCAATATATTTTTGGCAAATTTGATCTTGCAGGAAAAAAATATATTTTGGAGAACAAAACATCACTGATTAATGCCATAATGCAGTGTGTATAATTAAACATCACCAATATAAATATGCATCTTTTCAGTGTTTCAATACAAGCCATTTCCAGTTTCATCCCTGAAAAGAAAAGGAAATGGCTTACCCAGAACGGCGCTTTCCTCCTCGGGAGGGCATCGATCCTGCCATTCTCACTTGTCCGCTTGCCATCGGCGCAACTGGCAGGGCCACTGAGCCAGGAATATCTGATGCCATTTCTGTAACAAGACAGAGGGTGGAAGAGGAAGGACGAGGGAAAAAAAAAAGATTTTAAATCCATCTTCAAAAGGAGGAACTGAGGAACTATGAGGAGAAAAATAAAGTCAGTCCTTTTGCAAAATAAGCAGCGTAAAGAAAGTTTTCCTTTTCATTTCTAAGCAAAAGTAAAGCTTCCTATCAAAGACTAGACTGGGTAGCAAACTCGCAGCTCTCTTACAAGCCCAATTTTGTGAATAGCCACTCTAGTGTCTTGGGAGAGAATGAGAATCACAGTTCATAGATGGGGTAGCTCTGTACTAGTTTACCTATCAGTTTGTTAGAATTTTACTTCTTACAAGGGCTATCAGATAAATTAAGCAGTAGTTCAAGTACCACCCCCCCCAAAAAAAAAACACTTCAGAATTTTCTCAGCTGGCCAGTGAGGTCAAAAGTTTAGCGCAGGGACACATTTTCAGGTGATTTATATTTTGTGCTATTCGAAAGACTGGATTGAACATAAGAACTCCCAAATCTTCCTACATGTTTGTGTTGCACCTTGCAGAATGGAGCTGTGTCTGAAATAGAGATTGATATTCACGATTCCGCCAGGGCTCCAGGGACAACCACAGGTTGATCAGATCTGAGGAACTGCAAGTTACTCAACAATTTTCAGACCACTAACAGCAAGTAATCTGACAAACTCAATCAGGTTGTTAATAAATTAATACATTTATATAATTTTTTTTTCTTTCCCACGGATTAGGCATATTTTTGTCTCTGTGCAACACTCAAACAATGCAGCCAATTAAAATTTTAATGCAGATAAGCTTTACACATTCTAGAGGTACAATCTAGAGTCACAGCATTTAATTATTATGAAGAAATTATGTCTTCTTTCCAGTATTTATTAAGTAAACCTGCCAGAATATTTGGAGCTACAGATAAATATATTTAGTAATGAAAAGCAAATCTGTTCAAAAATTTTGTTATTCTTCCCCAACAGATCAGTGCAAAACAATTTCAACTATGGAAACAGGAATCCATGTTCATTCATTATTTTTGAAGAGTATTCATCTCTGCAATACTTTATATAAATCCATTATGTAATACTGTGCATTTTACATAATATATTTTCTTTGTTTGCTGGTCTCATTAATTTCTTCTGGCACTTTTATTTTTACTAACTCCTTTTCAAACAAGAGTGAGGGAGCAAAGTACCATCCAGCGTTGTTCAGTAAAGTGTTCAAGGACAAACAACGAGACGTCTGCCCACAACACCACAGAACGGAGCGTCTTGCTGCAGCTCAAGCTTCTGCTATGTACATCACTATGTTAACCTCCATTGGCATATTTACAAACAAATAAAAGCATGTACATCCAAACAGCTGGTAAATCACCATTTTCAAAAAAAGCTCTCTTAGAATTCTAGTGCTAAGATGAGTTTAAATGTTCTAAGTGAAGTATTTCATGCATATAACTAAAGGTCCTTTTGAAATGCTTTGCTGACTCATTTAAGTATAAACCCTAATAAATCTACCTGCCAAGCATCCCCGTCACTCAGAAACAAATTTCAGTGTAAATAATGAAAGGGATCAGTCTTTAAAGAGTAATTTTAAAACAGTATAAAAAGATCCCAAAGCTGCATTTTAAGAAAATAAAAGTACTAATGTAATTGTAATGAGGAACTCTTGCAGCAGAACATATCTTCAGGTATAAAACAAAAATCTACAGAAAAAAAAACAAGCCAAAGAGCAGATTAGTCTCCCTAAATTTTGCAGTCCACAAGGCAAAAAAGCTCATTATTGAAGGTAACTTTATAGTTCACTGGAAGGAAAATGCAGGGCATCCTTGCAAAACCACACACTCCATGTTTGCTGCATCTGAAATAGGTTGAGCACATAAAATAGCCTTCATACATTCTCATAATTGGGGGAACAAAGCCAAGTTCTTCGAGCTGACTGCTTTAAAAGCCAGGCTTCAAAAAATTCCATTTCTAAGATATAAGCACAGAAAGAAAAATCAGCATTTCCACACACATAGCTCTATGTGTAAAGTGAACTTGGAGGAAAGTTTCAGGCCCTTAAAATCAGAATACTGCCCAGGCTGGAGCACCCTGAAGGTGCGACAGGCCAGTCCACACATCAATGCACAAATCTCCCAACTTACCTTTCCAGATCCAAGCATGCAGGATACGCGCTGCTACCCAAAGCAGTTAGCTTTCCAATATTCTCCCCTAGTATAAAAAGAATTATTCTGAGCTCTGAAGATGGAGAAACCAGGAGGACTAGGTCCCTTTCTTGCTATGTGACACATACAGCGAGGAAATGACAAGGGCAGCAGGCAGTTCCCGGCTCCTTCAGTGGGACCATCCAGGAGCCGAGGAGCAGCAGCGGTGACAGCAGCCAGAAACATCCCCTTTCACACAACCTCACACGGTGACACCAGGGCACTAAAGGGGGACCTCAGGGACAGAGCCAAAGCGACCCCATCCCTCAGCTGCAATCTCCTGGGTGCTGCAGGATGCATCATTGAACTTAGACTCACAGAAATAAAAGTGCTAGATTGGGGCTATAAAAATCTACTCATAAACCAAGCAGCACCCTATTTTCCCAACAGCTTCGGTCTGGGGAGAAGATGGACCAGATTTGAGCTGCTTCCCAATTTATTTCCATTTCTATTCATTATCGAGTATCTAAAAGAAGCAGATTTTGGATGTTATTTTTACCCATTCCAAAAGGGAATTTACAGATAGAGCAGGATGACTAAAAGGTGGGTTGGTCACAAAAGTAGAAACATGTTCTATCCAAACACAAGGGTCAATGGCAGAGTCTAAAAGAAAATGTAAGGGCAAAGTCAGCTGTTTCTCTGAGCGCTGAAGATGCAGGGAAGTAAACTACCTGTGCACGCTTTGGGGAGAGAGAGAAACAAAAAAATCAACAGAATCTCAGGTAGAAATGTTGTGGTAGGTAGGTACTCCAGAGAACCTAGTACTATAAAAATATACAATGTGCATCAGATAAACAGACCTAAAGGGGAAAATATATATATATAATCTACATATGTATCAGAAGATTAACATACAACTATCTCAAATCACATAGCACAAATTTAGTGCAACCCCTTGCAGGTAGATGAAGCTATTCTGTTGCAGCATAAACTAGAATGCAAGCCCAGCACAGCAAAGGCAAGGGTCAAGCTGGTTATAAAGACACAACCTTGCTTGGTCAACAAAGAATTATAAGGATTGTGTTTCCAGGCCCATTTACACCCACATTCCAGACAAATGTTAACCCTGATACTCACACAAGGGTTTCAGCAGCACTGTGTATTATGAAACAAGCTCTCCTCTTTCTCAGGTTGAGAGGACTTCCCTTTTGCCAGGAGAAGACAAATGCTCCTTACTTAATCCAAAATTAAAACATAAGAATAAGGGAGTAAGGATGACAAAATAAGGTCAGGTTGAAGGCTTATGAAAGTCATCTAGAACCATGACAGCAGCAATCTGAAAATACCTATTTAAAAGAAGTTCCCTTGTATCACAAATAAATTGCTTTTCTACTAAAAAATATGCACAGTATTTAATTTCAAAGTTACAAAGCTTTAGATACCTACCAAAGAATACAGAAATGCTCTTAAATAAAACCTAGCAAAACACTATCATTTTTAGTGAGTTCCTGGAAGAATGTCAATGCTCTGTTTAAAAGCAGTAAAATTAGCTCCTACATTTCTGTCTAGAAATAAATTGACTGCTGAACACTTCAAGCTTTGATACAATAAAAGACAATCTGCAAATATACATTAAATATAGGGCTAACCTCTAATTCCCAATAAATCACATATTTATCTCAAATTTGTTATAAAGCTCTGTATATAACTTAGCTATAAGGATTACAAAACACTTTTTGAAGATGCACATGCATTGCAATAACTGTATTTAAATTGCCATTACTACTGGAGGGGTTGTATTCAGAGGTAAAACTAATGGGCTGAGCCCCAATCACAGCAAGAACTACTGGATGGCCCAGCACGCAGGGATACGTCTGCACTTCTCCTTTTAGTCAGATGGTTAATGAACTACAGCTCTTAAACCCACACTTCAAATCTCAAGCCCAAAGCACTGACCAAAACCCAGCTCTAACTCTTCTCTAGCTCACTTGCTTAGGCACCCTTTAGAGAGGTACAGCTATTTTGCCAGGTACCTTCACAGCTTGAATCATTTAGCTGTGGAGATGATGGTTTTTTTGCTTTGTTTCTTTAAGCACATTGCAGCTGTACATGCCCTTGCTGCGAAGCTCTGAAATACAAGAAGCCTCTGTGCATGACAAGACTTGTAAGTCCGTCTTACAAAAGGACCCATTAGCCACACTATTTTCAGCCATTCAGTCATTCCAAACTATGTTCTTCACATCAACACGTGCAAAATATGAACAGGGCCAGCTTTAAGTATCAAGTCCGTTAAGTTGACAGAAATCCCTTCCCTGACTTTAATGGAATTTGAATCTCTTTGACATTAAGTTTAATGACCAGTTCCAGATTTCCTATTGAACGTCAGGGACTGAGCATGTTCCTGCCAGGGTTCCTTTATCCTCTAGTATTTACTGTAATAAACTGCATTACAGTCAGATATCAGTATCTGATTAAACCTATGAGATTCTAGTTATATAAATACAAATGCGACAGATTTCTAACTGCTAATCCAGAAACCGATTGAGACGTCAGTCACCTCAAAGTAAATGTAGATCGAAAGGCAAATACGGAATTGAGAATGTTCCCCCTCCTGTGAAGAGAAACCTACACAAACACTTTAAATGCTCTAAGAAGCAGATTTCAAGAACTTCTTTTGACGCTGTATTTTTCTATAGCCTGAAGTCATGCAGGAGTTAGATGCATCTCAGCAATAAGATTTTGATTGCATTCAATTGCAAAGGAGTTTTTCAACCTAGCACTGGGACATGTGAAAATAAAAGAAATTGTATTTCTTACTTTAAAATATACCAATGAAAACATGAAACTGTAATGT